TGTTCAAACGCTACAGCTAATGCGTAACCTATTAACTTCCAAAACGGCAAAACTGTTGGCGTCTGTGAATCGAAAATAACTAATCTGGAGTATCTCTGTTTACCGAGGAAGAAAGACTTACAACTTTTGACTTGATCCAGAAGCAGGTCTTCATACCAGTTGTGAACTTCAGGGTAGCATCGCCTGACCGTCTCGGCGAGATAATTCAGGAAGTTATGCGATCTATCCGCAGCTTTGACAAAGGTCAACTGATGGCAATAACACAATGACACAAATTAGGAGTATGGAATAATTTAGTACAAAACAAGGCCTGGATATTATGATACGGCGCTCTTTACAAACTTAAAACATGTTCTTTTGAAGGGTCTCAAAATTCAAAGGCAAAATTAAAAAAAAAAATCCAAGATGATGGATTATAAACTTTAAAAGTTGTCCCTTTGTCACAAAAGAAAATTTTAGATTTTATTATTTTGTAATAGCTTTCTTGAAAAAAATAAAGAACTGTGGTAAGCAGCAAGCAAATCATCACTGAAACAATTTAGATACTGCTTAACTTTACACAAAAAGGTTTTACAAATGGAGCACAATACAGGTGTACGAGCGGAGATGCACACTCACATTGTCTAACGTCTCCAATCGAAAGCCGCTTGCTGTACCTCTTCTACTGCTATTCATGTAGTTACCAAATGCCAAAATAATCTGAGTAAGCAATACGAAAAACTATTACTTTCAAAGGTTTAAGGCTACCATCAGTGAATATGAACTGGCGACAACAGAAGCAAAACCAACAAATTTCAAGGAGGTATATAGGCTTTAAAAATTATCCTCTGGTATACTGACGCACGCGCAAATACATTCAGTTATCTAATCTTAAAACAGCGTATAATTAGTTGAGCAATATGTTCATATATATGTCACATATAATATTTCATCTTCAAACTCTCAAAAACTCCACCCTACCTCAAACAACTTTTTCAGTTTCTTGCTTTTCATGATGCTCTCTGCAGCTTTGACGATAGCAGTCATGTCCTAAATTCAAAATGAGTTTTGGAGACAATGTAAAAGAACGAACAATTTACTACTGCATATAGGCCTAATATAGTATTTTTGAGGTTGTAGGTTCAAATCTCGCACCACTTTGTTTCGATAATCACCCCAGTATTTATAACCTTTCTTATCTTGTCAGTTTCTCTTTTTATAATTTGTTTGTCAACATAAATAAAGACCACTTGAAGCAGGTGTACGAAGCATTCTTTATTATTAGAAGTGTATCTTTGCAAGTGTCGTAAAAGTAAAACACAGGATAAAGGTCCTGTGACAAACAAATGCCTCAGAAAAGTTAAGATCTCCGTAAAAATATTGACGAGCTGACAATTTGTTCCCTTGTCCAAACATCACAATAAGGCAGCAATCACGAAGAGTTTCTTTTTAGTATTATTTGCTGATAAAACACACTGGTACCAAAGAAGTAGCATTTCCGATGTTTTCAGCTTGTTCGATTCTGGACATGCCTCTCCCATGCTTGTTTATTTTGACGCCCTTCGTTTTCTTATCAGTTACGGAAAACCTGCTATGTTATACAGTTTTGTAAATTTACATGGAAGTCTGTTGTGTTCCACACTTATTTGACACATTGCCATTGCAATGGTCCGTTAATTTTTTGTTACAAAACAGTGAAATGTTCTGTGAAGATGCGCTAAATAGAGTCGGTGTTGATTGCAAGCACAACTGGACTGACTTCGTAGACATGAATGAAAGACATGTCAGAAATGTTTGACACAAAGCACGTCTTACGGGTTGGAGTGAGTCGATAAGCTCTTTGTAAATGCCCATGAAAGCCATGAGACGAAGTTTGGATTCATACCGGTCCACTCGCGCCATCTGAGGAGAAAAGAGACAACAGATCCTGATCAAAGCAAGCTAGTATACGTAAACTACGAAAAGAGGACTCTATACAGTCAGCGCGCTAAAAGTTGAAAAATGGGTACGAGATGGTTTGACTTGCTTATAACAAAAGGATCAGGTTTTTAAGGTAACACACAATGTCATCGTAAAACGCAGACTTGATATGTTATTATAGGATTAGTTATAGGATTTTATGTCAAAACGGTATCAGTCTAATTATCAACTTTTATTAGAGGCAATTCTTCTTGGGTTTTTATCTCAATGACCAAAGAGATCACTCTGTTTTATAAAGCCGAAACCTACAAAACTTAACATTGAAAAGGGTAGGTTTTTATGTTTCGGGGGACCCTGAAGAGCAGACAGCTATCAACATATCAACCTCTCTGCCAAATATCGCAATAAGGCTTTAATCGAACTGACGTGGAATTTCATTGAAACGTTTCTTACCTGAAACATAAACTGCTCCGCTTCGCCCATTCCTTCATAATCGTCCGCATGTTTGGCGAGAGACTTCAGCTAAAATGGTGGTGGCAGAAAAAGTAAACATTCGTTGTTTTTCGTACAGATTTCATTGGGCACTGTGCAAGTTTAAACCACATCAGCAACAAGCATGTAATGGGATTCCAGAACGACGTGCTAAGGTAATATGCATATGGCGAGTAACCCATGAAGTAATAACCATGAAATAACAGGCGTGGAACTTAATCAATGTATGTGCTATTTTTACAGTTAGACCTTCAGAATTTACCTCTTCCTTTGTCGGTAGAAACTTGAGAAGCAGTTCCGCAAATTCTCCGGCAACTAAGCTGGTGTCACATTTGTCTATGGCGTCTTTGATTGCCTTAGTCGATAACCCAATCCTTCTCTTTGTAATTACTAAGTGAATTTATTGAAACAATATATACAAGGAACGAATAAAGTGACAGCAAAATAAAATGGATGTGCGATCTGGAGAATGTTGAACAATATTATCAAAGTTAATTAAAGTAAACTCTCTTGTTTTTGCATCTAGCCTATTCGTACGATTTGTACTTAAATGTTTTTTTACGTATTTCACGTAAGGTCCCTTCCCTGTTTTGAAATTGAAAGGAAGCCTTTAACTTGTCAAAAATGCAGAAAAAATCTGAACGCAAATTTCGTGAATAAGTGCCAAAGAGAGTTCAGATAAATTCAATTTGTTACTATTATGTTTTGAACTTACATCTTTTATAGTAGCAATTTTATTTTAATACCAACAGCTCGAAAAAAATGACTCAACGCTTAGAATTGTAATAGAAGACAGACTCTCCCGATGGACCAGAATCGTCCACTTCCTCCTTAGTACAAACTGAATATGTGTTCCAAAGTATCGACTATTGATTTCAGTTCTTCTCTCACCCAAATTCCTAGCTCTGTTGGTCTCAATCACTGTGATCTTTTCTGCTAGTCTCTCTTGCAGCCGTCTCACCCTCTCCATGCCAGCCGTGTTGTACTTGCTCTCTCGCAGACGGAAGTTCCGCTCGAAGTCAGTGAAGTCTAGTTCATTCAAAACCCGCTCATCATCTATGGTCTGGATATAAAGGTGACAAGAGTGATAAAGTGCCGATTGCTTGCTGATAAAAAGGAGAAACTTCGGAACAATTCTCTTGATTATAGACGACTTGATTTGGACATACAGTACGTGGCTTACTTTTCCTTGCTCCAAACTTTAATTTACTTTTAATGTTTTAATGAAAGATTGAGCCTAAATGACGTTTTGTCTCTCACATGACTCGACTGTTTTCCTTTACTAACATTTGCATATTCTTGAGCAAGACAATTCCAGTTTATAAGTCTACCGCACGCCATAAAGTGAAAGATCAAGTGTTACGCCGTGCACATGTACATCAAATTTAACAATACAACTTCACCACGTGAACCAAGACCAGCATCAGATGTCGACAGTTTCATAGAATGAGACAGACTAATCCAACATGATCTTTTCGCTTTCAATTTACCTTGAATATGGTGTTCGTGACTGGGTAAAGTGTGACCCAGTTCAACATAGGCATTGGTGCGCTCGAAATTATTCTTCTTTTTCTTCTTGAATCTGGAAAAGAATCAATCCATACCTTACTTCTATGTTTAATTCTACGAAGAAACTTTACCTTTCCCTCAAATTACAGGATTCAGTTTATATTTACAAAGACTTTGTCTTAGTCGTGAGGACGACATTTACACGCTTGTTTAATTTTAAAATATGGAGGGCCTGACGTTTCGACAAAAGGCCAAATGACAAGTGGACAAGCAAACAGACAATCAGCCAAGCATGGGTGAATAGAACAATAGATGAGGACAAAAGGAAAGGTCAAGAAAGTTAAAGGCTGGATAAAGGGGACCGCGTGAAAGGCATGGTTGAACAACAAAGAAATTTAAGGTGGAGAGAGATCAAAGAAAATACAACAGATGGAACTGGACCCCACGTGGGAGGGGGTAATTATCTGCGGACAAAAGAGGGGGAAAGAAAAGAGTGTTAATTAGTAGTTTCCCTCTTGGATGTTCAGGCCATGGGGTTGTATGGTGCGGAGGTGTTTGATATAAACCTTCTCCCTGTTGAAGTGAACAGCATCTTTACGGAACCCAAGCAATTCTATGCCCTGTGAGATCATGTCAGACATAGAATGGTTAGGAAGGTTGAAGTGGTGGCCTACAGGGGTATCTAGCTGTTTGGTGTTGACCGTAGATCGGTGGCCATAGAAACGCTTCTTGAGAGTGTTCTTAGTCTCTCCAACATACTGAACACTGCACACCCTGCAAGAGATAAGACATATGACATTAGAAGAGCTACAAGTGCCTTTGGGTCTGTGGGTGGTACCGGAGGAGTGTCCAGAGAATGTATCTGATTCCAGGACATCGTTCTGGCAAAAAACACATCTGTCAGAATCATACTTGAACGTGCCTTGCTGGGAGGGGGGAAGGGTATCCAAAGGGGGCACCTCAGCCCGAACGAAAAGGTCCCGTAGGTTGCGGGGACGCCCGTAGGCCACAAGCGGGGCGTCTGGTATGGCACTGGCTATAGGCGGTCTGAAGTGTGGAGGATATGATGATTGTCATTTATTATTTTGCAGAGGGGAGGAAGACGAAGATGGAGAGTGGTGACCAAGGGAACCCTGGGATTGTTTCTACACGGGGGGGTTTTCTCCTTGAGTGCAAGACTTCTAGGGACGGAGCGGGCCCTATTGATAGAGCGTTGAACCTGGTGATACGTGTAGCTATGTCCCATTGCAATCAAGTGCCTCTTTAGTTCCTGTGTATGACGGGAGAAATCTGAATCATTAGAACAAATGCATCTTAGCCAGCCGAGTGCTTGGCTGTATGCAATACCAGCCTTGCAGTGTCTAGGGTAGCAGCTGGATGAGTGAAGATACTGATGGGTATCTGTAGGCTTGGAATACAGGTCAGTAGTCACGAGGTTGTTCTCCTTCCGGATGCTGACGTCGAGAAAGTTGGCCTGATGGGGGGAATATTCCGAAGTGAACCTAATTGTCCCGTGGAAAGCATTGATATGGTTAATGAAGATGTCTAGACTGCCACTGTCACTGGTCCAGATGAAAAATACATCATCAATGTATCTCCACCAGATCCAAGGGCGGCAAGGTGCTGAAGTAAGCATGCGCTCTTCAAGGTTACCCATGAAGAGGTAAGCAAAGGAGTGAGCCATGCGGGTGCCCATAGCTGTGCCGTGTACCTGTAGATAGTGTTTGCCCATAAAGGAGAAATTGTTCTTGGTTAGCCCAAGTCTCATAAGCGTCGCGACATCACTGATGGGGGGAGTTGTGTGTCCGCTCTTCATGAGAGCAGAGCAGCAGGCCCGAATACCCTCATGGGGATTGTTAGAATAGAGAGAAGAAACATCAAAGGTCCCAATGATGGCTGAGTTGGGAATCTGGTTCTTGATGTTTTCCCGCTTAAAGTCTCGCGTGTCGTGAATATATGACGGGATCTGTGGAACGATGGGTTTGAGAAAAGTGTCAGTGAACAATGATATGTGTTCAGTGGGCGATCTATTTCCGGAAACGATGGGCCTCCCTGGATTACCTGCCTTGTGGATATTGAGGAGTAGGTACAACCTAGCGGTTCTACATTCAATGGGGTCAAAACTTATAAACCTTCTTGGATAGTTGGTCACGTGAACGTGTACCATCCAGAACCTGCTGAATCTGTAGTGAGAATGTTCCTGTTTGGTCAGAATCGAGGGGGATATAGTTAGTATGATTGTGAAGTTGGCGATGGGCTTCATCAATGTATTGCTGTCGATCCATAATTTTTATTGTTGTTTAATTTGTTAACCGACTTGGCTTCTCGATGGTTCCCAACTAAATATGCAACAAGTTACAAGCCAAATTTTAGCAATATTGGCTTCCACATTAAAAAATTTGGTCAAGATCTTTGCCTTGATTTCGCTTTTGTAAATAATCGTCAAGATTTTCTTCACACTGTATCCCAAATTTCGAAGCAGACTTCGACAGTGGGCCCTACCTGTTTGGCCGAACATTGGAGGAGCAGGCGGTGGGGTAGGCATACCGGGCGTTGGCGGACTGGGTGCCGCTGGCACGGATGGGGCTTGGTCGGTGACAGGCTGGATCGGAAGATGAAGGGATGAATCCTTGACTATCTTTGACGAAACTGCAGCTGTTCTACTTGGTGATCCCCCTCCTGAAACAGAAGAGATTAGGGAGAGGGCTAAATGTGATATCCATATTTCAAATATCAATTCTTCAAACAATTTTTCCTCGGACTTTTCCCGTTAAGTCAAACGTCCAAAAACAACATATTGGATTTTACTAAAAAATTCAGGAAAAGTGCAGACATCTCTGCAAGCGAGAAAGGTAATCGGAAACTTTTATCAGATATCTATATATGAACATGTCTTTCTACAACTAAACATTCGATTTTTAGTCAGACCCAATTTGTCAAAATGTCAAATCAAACCAATTCAACAGAAATAGTTATAGTCACTATTACGTCAGCATTTAATTTCTTACGTATCAGATATGCCTAGACAAAAAGCTGCAACAATTTAAAATGCACCTCCTGTTGTCTTGATGGCTGCAGTTGATGCGGTGCTATCCACTCTATTTCCTATGTGTGAGCGGGGCTGTTCGTTCAGTTCAACCGCTGACACGATGGGAGTAACACTGCCTGTACTCGGTGCTTCGGAAGAATCCTGGCTGCTTAGTGATGGTTCTGATTGATCTAGGTCTAATGGTTTCATCAAGAGTTGGTAGGACTTGAGTCGCGTCTCGAGGTCTTGCCCTGTTTGTTGCCTGTACACTTTCTGTTAACAGAGTCAGAGTTACACAAACCTTATACATATATTAACAGTTCAGATGATACCAAGCTGCTCAAAAATAACCCTACAAAATTTCTATTTAATAAGAAACATAGAAAATAGCAGAAAATGGATTTCAAAAAGTCATTGTCTTTTGATGATTACATGTATTAAAAACTGCATCATCCACTCTACCTTTTGATGCAACAGATGACATGTGATGCTTTAATTAATATAAAATAAAGTCGACCATTGTATCAATGACACAGTACAAGTGTTTCAACCATTCTTGCTTTGGCAAGTTTCTTATATATTCGTTTACATAATTATTACTGGTTCACTGACATGAACGATCTGTTGAATTCTCTTAACTAACCCTAATGTGCTCCAGAGTGTCTTGCAGCTCCACGACTCGCTCTCTATATTCTTGAGATTTTCCGTCAACCTGAAATTTAAGCCAACAATGGAAAGATATTATCTTGCAAAGAAACAATATGGAAAATGTGTTTTAGGTTCAATGCGAACAAAAATACAAGGTTTGTGTGAACAATTATATCAAAACCAAATCTGAGAAATTCTAACCTCCTGTAATTTTTGCTGAAGTTCCGTCTTGCTTGCTGTATATTCCTGAAATAAATTATCATAACCAGCATTTTAATTGATTCAGGTAAGAACAAAAAAATACTATTAATATGGTAGATTTCAAGATATGTATGGGTAAGTTTGAACCATGCAGCTTCACAAAATGAAACATTATTTTCAAATCAAAGTTCATTCAAGATACTCTGCATTTAACTGCTATCAGCAACTTCATGTTAACACAACAATTACTTTTATAATGACAAAAAGTGCTCTTCAAAACTTGGAAATGAAATCAAAACTTGGAAATGAAATGGCGGACAAAACCATGAAAAGTAGCATCACAGACTGTCTTCAATGCGAGTGCCGGGTGCTTTCGATTTTTATACAACCAAAATCATGTACATACCCTAATCTTTTCTTGTTGCAGATCAACCTGTATCAAAAAGAAACAAATATTTAAATAGTTAAATTTGCAGAGTTTTATATCACATTAAATGTTTCGATATGGAAGTGGTGGTGCAAGTTTGAGTCCAAATAAAATATTTTGGTAAAAACACTTTGAAAACGGCCACTTTCCAGGCTTCGGTGTTGCCATTTAAGTGTGTCACAGAGAGCGCAGAAACTTTAGATCTCGAACCGAAAATGACATTGAAGAGACTATACGCCCTATATGCAATTCAATAGAATTAGTATTTTCACAATAATGACATTATGTTTAAGTGTAGAACTTAGGATATTGGGCATTCAAGGAATGAATAAGCCAGGGATAACACGCAAAGGTCCCATGGCACCAAACAATAGCCATTTGGATCACTGGACAATAGTTTAGCGAGTATAATAGGTTCAGTGAATCAAGTAATACTCCCACATCATCGAGTTGTATAAACTAACGCGGGCAGTAGTTGGTTTGAGGGGCATCAGTTTAATTGGCAGGGCAATAGCGCTGGTTAGATATCACCTACCTCTCTTCTGAGCAGGTCATTTCTTTCTTGAATTTCTGCCAAGTTGTCTTGGAGACCCTGTATACTAATGAAATGATCGTGCCATTCGTCAAGCTCGGCTTTGATTGGCTGAGGAAGGTCGCCATGGTATGACTAAAGAAAAGAACAAAGCAACAGTTAAGGAATGACAATAGAGGACAGACAACTGAAGGAGACAAGAACGATAAAATCTTGGGCCCTTAAAGAGGAACGCTATCACAGAAAATAGGTTAACATTAAATCATCCGCAGTTTCAAAAGTATGTAAGTCCGTCTTTTCCACAAATTGTTGTGTTGCTCCTGCCCCTTTTGAGATAAGGAGAAGGCGAATACTCACAGACACTCTTATCTTTTTATCAAAACGAAACACTTGTTTCCTTTAATTTTTTCACGATTTTGCGAGCTTTAAGTAGCAGGAAGACACACGAGGCAATTTCGAAGTTAACACAAAACAGTTTCTGAAACTGTACAATGTAGGAAATGCAACTTTGCCCTTTTTGGGGGATGGTTTATGATGAGATTTGCTTGGGCTTCTGCGCATTGCTTTTATAGGTGACAGGGCCTATAGAGTGCTTTTATCGACAATCTCCTCCAAACTTGGTAGGTGGATTACCTTTTCTAATTCAATGGCATCAAACTCAGCAAGTTCCAACTCGTACTGCAAGTATACTCGTCGGTTGAGGTTCCGTGTTGTGTTCAGTAGTTTGTTGATAAACTTCAGACAAGCCACCTGGAGAGAAGACAGTCCGTCACAACGCTAAATATCCATAGTTAACCTATACAAGCAATCTACATAGCGCACACATCGCGAACCACTATCATGATATATCAAGATATGCATGACACCAAGTCAATGTCTTGACAATTCGCCTATGATATCATTCAGGGAGTTTCACTTGGTCTCTGTTTCTTTGTATTTCAATTCCTCATATTCAATGAAATGCTATAAGGAATTGACTGCATGTATTGTATATAAAGAAATCTTATTGCACTGAGTGGGTTTAATAACAACTACAAAGATTACTGATGTCCTTAGCATGTCCAATTGCAGTTGCAATCGAGAACTCCACACAAAAAATAAGAAGAACCCCTGGCATGTTGATGAGTCCTTAAACCAGACCATAGTTACACCGTACTACCAAATGAAATCCTCCGGTTCTACATTTTCCCTTCCGGTAAGGTTTCAGCTAGGGTCAACGTTGATGTAGCAAGTATTCACAGTCTTCACTTACCACAAGTTCTGTGCGTAACCTTTCCACTTTTAGCATCTGCGACAAGGCATGGAATCGAACCTTCTCCTTAATCTTGATCCGGAGGAAGTTAAAGACATTCAGAACCCTGTCATGGCCGTCTCTCGCCTCGCAAGCGTAGGTAAGAATCTAAGAGAGATGCGTTCAAAAATAAGAACTACAACACGGGCATGAACACGACAAGATGACAGGAATTGCCGTTTTATTGAGGGTAATTTTTAATCAAGAGCAGAATTTTTTTCTGAATTCTAGTATATTATTTCTGAAGGCTGGAATTTGGAACTTGAAAAGTTTTGGTGTTTTTGAGAGAAAAGGAATAGAACTGAAGAGTTTTTATTTCTAAATAAACAAATACCTTGAAGGCATTGAGCCTGGATGCTAACGATCTGCTGATAATGCAAAACGATATTGTCTCCAGTATGTCTGGACCCGTGTTGATGATGTGTCTCCCTTTCTGCAAAGAAAAAAACACGGTGGGAGAATCGTCGTGAACAACTGAGGGAAAGACTGTCAAAATAGTTGGAAAAAAGCAATGTGTGTGCAGAATATCAGTGACTATGCTAAGTTTATAAGGGGCACTGGAATTATCTCCAGGGACTTGAGCCAGAAAACCACCTTGAACCAAAATAATAGACTTTACCTCATTCGATGCTATACATTTCAAACAGAAGAGGGCATCTGATTCATCCACCTGTCATTGCAATGGAAACAATCAATCAAAGGAAACAGCCTTTTGTAATCTTTCACTTTCAATTTTCGTAAAATAGGGCTTAATTCATAGTAGAAGAAACTATAATTCGTATACAGATCCGAAGTGCAAGGACAACAATTTTTGGGTCGGATTTTTTTGTACATATACATAAATCTGTGAATTAATATAAATACATGAAACTCTCAAGACTTAAATTTATTTCTGTCTGAAAATATTAAAGATTAAAGGAATTAAGTGCTCTTCAATGTGTCATACTCCAGGACTTACTTGCAAATCCTGAAGTTCAGTCATCGAAGCATTTTTTTGTTATCTTCATACAATTTCGTTTTTCTTGCTTTTAGAGATCTAAAGATATTAAATGTTACAATATTCACAAACCTGTTCCCTTTTGAGTGTTTCAAAGTATTTCTGTTTCTTCTGGATTGTGGACTGTTTCTCAGCCGACGTACTGTTGGCTAGTCGTTGTTTATCTATCAGGAGATTCTGTGTGTCTCGTATGAATCGACACAATACCTCTGCACCGTTCAGAGTCTCTGAGATGAATTCTTTCATAAATCTATATCAGAAGGAAAAAATGTTGCATTCATTTTAAAAGAACACAACATAACCTTTGACTTTATTTTCTATCAGAAATGCTATGTTCAAGTAGTTCAGTAGATTTAATTATTAAATATGCAAGCGTATTCCCCAATTCCCACCATCTGTTTGCCACAAAACGCAAAACAAAAAAAAGTTTCTTATTCTTGGGAAAAACAAAACCAAAAGGCAGGCTGAAAGTGGGAGAGATACACACATAACGGACAATGTCGGCTTTCATTTCTTACCAGCCCTTTTGCTATACGGTTTACTGAAACGTTATTTTCAAGGCCAGTGAGCTATTGGCAAAAGTCAATACGTTAACAACTAAAGTTGCTAAAAAAAGGTCACACGTGGTGTGTGCATTGTGAACAGATATTATCCATGGTATGCAGGGTTACGAAAAATCTACAAGTGTGCAAGGCAACGGAATTCAAATCAAGACAAGGAAGGAGTGTTCTGTTTTTGTGAAATTTTATTCTGAGTGAGTAGAATATTTAGGAGGGATAACGCACATATTATGCCTGCTGAACTCGAACATTAACAAAAATAGTGCTTCCATCTGGGTGACAAAGTTTTGAATAGGTGTATATTAAACAATTTATAAGGAAACAATTGACATCACATCTGATTTCATGTAAAATTTCTCATCTTCACCCTATGTCAACGTTATCAGTGTGAGGAGCATCATCTCGTATCACTATACTCTTCAGTTCTTCATTGTCATCATCCACTCAGATTCTTTGTTATTTTTCTTCAATATTATCACTGATTATCACCATCATCAACAGCTTCACCACAACGTGTCACCATATACTTATAGCAACCTTACAGCCACAACCATCGATGTCTTCATCTTTATGGTCTACCCACTCTGTGTTATAAGCCTTCAGATCCTCTTTCAGATCCGCCAGTATACTTCGTGTTGGAAGTAGGTCCTTGATAAGTTTCTTGGGCACTTTCTTCAGACTGTGAACGTTGGGGTTCATGTGAGCTCGAAGCTGGTCGATATAAAATTTAGGACTATGGAGGCTGGGAACAGAAGGCTGGAAGTGAAACAAGAACCAAAAATATATTTCTTTCCCCGTCAGGGAGGTAACTTTGCATGAACTATTTTAACGCCAGTTCTATTTCCGCACTTAAATTCACACCCGAAACTAATTTTTAAAATATACGCATCAAGAAAAGACACACAACACAGTAAAATTTGTCTTTTAAAAATAACATATATGTGACAAGACTTCCAAAAATACTGTTTTGGTTCGTAGAGACCGAATTCATCCTGATTTTGCATAGTAACCAAATGATTAATTCAGTCGATGGAGTTCTGCATGAAAAATATATTTCAGTACAATCACAAAAATATCATGAATATTCCAAGCAATTATCCGAGTGGCAGTTTTTTTCAGATTTTGTAGTGAGGGATTTTCAGTTAGAGAGAGTTGTGCCTCACAGACATGCCACAGATCATCATGGATTATACTGCTTTTGGCTAAAACGACAAAATCTCTTCCCCCTTAAAATCTGTCAGTCTTCTGAAATGAAGCATAAGCGACACGTAAATTGCTTTTTTGCATTCTTAAGTATTCACATTCTTAGTCGACTGTCACTCTGCAGGATACTCGAAAGCATCTGTATTCCGTTGTCCATTCAATTTTCTTCTTGATACCTGATAAAATTTGGTTTGATATTTAGTGTGTTCAATGTCTATGATTATTTATTTCTTTGGCTCTTTACCAAGCTTAACACTTCAATTGTGAACACAAAAGCCAAGAAAGAAAATTTATCTCTAAAGCAGTACATAGGACTACATTGTCGGTGAAATTAACTACTTTTTTAAAAAGCAATGTGGCTGTGATTTTGCGTAAATATATTCTATCTACACAGACTATCATGTAATTTCTTCTATAATTACATCAAATATGAGTTGGGATTGACGGGTGATTGCATTTGTATCGACAATCACTGTGTTAAACACGCAGTAAAGTCCAAACCAAGGACGATTTGGATAGAATTGAGTCATAAACTTTCCCAAGTCATCCCCTGAACAAATGTGCAAAGCAATTGGCTCCATATCGACGATGTATCGTTGTCATCATACTATATAAATGCAAGTCTTTGACAGAATTGCAATGTAACGCTCGACAGTTTTATACATTTTTTGAGGGTGCAGACAAACCAAAGGACAATACAAGCAACAATATATATTTTTTTCGCTACGTGGGCTCATGGGTAGGCAGAATACACTGAGAATGAGTCATATGAATATGACAACATTTTTTAAAAACATTGAACAGGTTTAAAGTTTTAAAATAATTTAAATGTTTTACTTCCACTAAATATTTGGGTTTTTTTCTACGTGCTCAGCAAAAGTACACAGAGGACTCGTCAAGGTGTGCATAAAACGCATAACGCTGTTTTTGTGCTTATAAGTCCAGTACATAAAAAATCCCCGATCCCTGTGATCCAATCAAACAAAGTGAGTTTCCAGAGCACTGAAAATCATTTGGAACTATCATTAATTCCATAATCTCTGAACAGAGCCATGCAGGCGACAAACAAGAGCTTCAGACTACTGTTGAAGTCTGATCACCTCTGCCGTCATAATAATTTACTTATACCGTTAAAATTTTAGAGGTTTGCAACTAGACATACCAACACATTGCACGGCTGCATTGCTTTCCAAATGTTAACCACAAAGAACGAAATATGACCCAGACTCCCCCTTTTATTCCTTTTTGTCGAAATAATCTTTCATGGTTTAACCTAAGTTGAACCTTTATTACTTGACTGAAGTAGAACACCATCAGGAAGGGTTGTGGGTCTTGGTTTCCAAATGCTACTTACAGCCCTTTGTGCATTGTTGTCGATTTCTTTACAGAGGATACTGAACATGCTCACGTCATTAAGTTGGGATGACATTAATTTGACAAGGAAACTTCTAGCTCAGTTAACGGAGGTTTAATAAAGGTCATGTAACGTTGCACGGTGTAACGAGGCCAATTAGTCCATTGACATCACAACATTGGAAAAGCTATAACTTCCTGCCCTGGAACAGAACACAGGTCTGTCAGAGTTTTTAAACATTATTACTCCCTTGTTTCACTTTTTGTGTGTACGTATGTCGGGGGGGGGGCGAGTTACCCCACTTACCCTCCTCCCTCTGGATCTGCGCCTGAATTTGGTGAGAACCATCGCGGTTAGGGTTACTGAGTTTGACAGCGATTGTTCTTAAACGTGACATTCACGGCATTCAGAATAGTGACGCGCAAACAAATACGATAATTGCCTGCATATCCACATGTGTACAGCCGTGCAAGCTACATGGCTTTAACAAGACTACACTGATGTAGTTGCCAAACTGAAAGGCACATACCCAATACTTGTAACAGAGTAGCAAAACAGCTAACCTACCTGCTCACAAATCATCCTCCACTTATCACCCGATTCCATGGACTCCATTCTCTGTATTTGTTCAGGTTCCAGCGGCATGGTACTCTACGTAGGACGACAGAGGAACATCTAAAATTCACACAACCGCGACTCGACTAGGGGAGCCTTCGGGATAATGAACACACTCGTGTATTCTTAAACAGGTATAATGACATGTTCACAAACTGCTCAGGTTTGTCAGGTGACGTTTGTCATAAACAACTCCAGTTAGCATACCAGCAAAAGTTATTTCAATGAAGAGGGGACTCGCGTGTAGCCCACAATGCTAGATATCCCATAAACCTCAAAGAAGCGATAATAAAAGTCGCCTTGAGTCTGAGATTTTCCCTACAACACAACTGCCCCCGACACAAAACGTGGTTATTCATTCGCGAACGAGCGCAGTTATGCTAATTCGGCTCCAGGGTCGTCTGGCTGTTGTGTCTTTACAGCCGTCCATGACCCAACGAACTTGAATAAAAAGACTGAAGTGGAAAATCGCCACAGCTGACGTCGGTTGGTCCACGGGGCAGATGTAGGTGCGGGACCGCCCGTATTGTATGTCACACCAAGCATAATGGTGTGGGGGTGTTTCAATTCATCGATTCAGTGTTGTGAATGATACAGAAAAAGCTCAGTAAAGGAAAAAGTAGCTGAAACACATGCCTAAATGCAACGCGAGAATGATCCGTGTTTAGAGCTCCCACGACTTTGCTTCGTTGAGGCCTTCTCCTTGTCACACACAAGCGTTTGAAAAATCACCCGTCAGACATGTAAAGATTTAAAGTCGGGTAGATTCTAATTCGGCTTCGCATCAGTGATACCTATAAGAAGAGATTTGAAACCGTACACGGATTACGCACGCGCGTGTGCACCCGTGACGTCAGATCAAGAGACAAGGTCACACCTAGGTTTGTTGAAGTCACAATATTGTAGAGTTGTGATTGCGACACGGTGCTCTCCACATTAGATTTTAGTCGTATCCATGTTATAAAAATTGTTCACTTGTTTTTCTACTCAGTTATCGCAGACCAAATTTCATTGTCAAACCGGTGCATGATGTCATTCACAAATCATATAGCAGGTTTCAGGTCACAAAAATACCACTTACCAGGAGAATTCGAAACTTTCTCTCGATGATATGCTTAGAAGGTTTTAATCCTGCAAATGACAAAATGAAACGAAACAACTCATAATAAAACGGGCTTGTATCATTTTGCCTGCCTGGAAATATAAGAACGAATTTTCATGCTCGGGATAAAACGCTACTTAATCAGGATATGATCAGACTGGGAGAATTGGACAACCTGAAGTTGTATGTTGGATCGTAATATCATGTAACCAGGGCATTTCGTCTACAACCTCAGAGGGGATGTTCAATGGCAATATATAGGTGGCTTTACATCTTCACTTTCGTCTTCTTGTTGTCACTCCCAAACGACCGAATTACAGTGAGCGAACAGTAAAATGTGTTTTGTACAAGTGTAATATATGGGCACAAGGTGCCTAGAGTCTAAACGCATATCTGAACACTTTTTGCCCACTTTTAAACCCTTTCTACCACGGCATGTTTGACATGCATGAACGGGTGTGTTTAATGCTCAGCTATTTTTACCAAGCTACATTTGTACTGTGTAAGAGCGTTATAGCTATTAAAACCTTCCTAAACGCATTTCATTGCAAATATCTAAACATGACGTAGGTATAAAAATGTGTCTAAACTGTATACGCCTTTTTTACATTTGTGTTTAGAACACTTGAAGTTGTTAGTTACATATTACGATGTCTTATTGCATGACGTGAAGTTTGATATAAAGTTAGACGCAAAACAACATGCAATTTGTCTGCGCATCTCTAAGAGACTGGATTGGAGGGATATAGAAATGTGCACCATTGAAAAGTCCTTACATTACGAGAGAAAAAACTCCCTTCAACCCGGTTTGAAACTTTTACAGTGAAGTGGCACTTCAGATTCCAAAGCCAAATTGCTCTAAGTTAATATCAGAAATCTCCACGTTGCTTTTGATAAATTGGTTAGTTGATATATCTGTCCCCGAACTGTGTGGTAGAGCACTCATACATTGTATGCACACGCGTTCTGTCTCTACAACATTTTGTATTTGGAGATTTTCACGCCGCGCACGCACATTGTGACAAAATCACACCATTCTATCGTTTTATTCCGTTTCGTTTTACAAGAGCACGCTTCAGATTTCCACATTAACCACCTGTAATTGCATTCTTTGACACGAATTCAGTTAGCAGCTGCATCCCAAACAACTTCTCCTTCAGAAAAATCAAACAAGTGGAATTTTCTTTCAACCACAAGGAAGAAAATAACACTAAAAAAGGACACACCAAAGTCGCCTAAAAGGACAGTATCCTTAGAGGCTGTTGGGAAATATATTATATGACTTAACACTCTAAATAGGCTCCCGATAATCGAATCATAGGATATTGTTTCAGCCAGGAAAGGTCTAAGCTGTCGTCGGGTTATTGCATTATTTGGGTAGTACATGGTCTACTTGGGGTAATTCATCTTGGCATTTGATTCACATCTACAGCTTCAGATTCGCAGTGGCACTATGTCTATCATCATTTTAATAAGACAGACTTCCTTAATATATTTTCACCTATAGTTGTTGAGATTTAACAACTGATCAAATACAAGATCTTGGATTACAACATGCATTTGTGTGTGATAATCAAGGATGTGATGGTATCACAATTAGTTCCATGTCATGACAGTCTTCAAAACATCCCATACATTACTCACTATTTTTCCCTGAGCTGGATGACCCTACTAATCTATCTCCTTGAGACCAATACTGTTCCCCTCCTGATTCTGGTGTAATGACGTCATCATATTCTGCCCCATCCCAATGCGATCTGACGTTACTGGGTCTATCTTCTTGTTCGTGACGTGAAGATCGTCTGGACGGATTCTTGTCGTAGTTGTGGCTTTCGGAGTTACTGTGAGCCAGGTCGGAGACAGCGGTTAGGGAATCTAAGCTCTGACTTGCCAACATGGTTGCTGTCTCTTGGCGCGTCCAAACCCCTTCATTTGGCAAGAGTTCCTTGTCTCTGCCTAAACTCAAACTAGAAGTCGATCCTCCAAACTTAGTCTTCGACAGTTTGCCAGATTTCTTTAACTTCGCCATTCTTGCTATGGCACAGAGTGTGACAGACCATGCACACTATTCGACTATACGGTTTTTCCTCACGGCACATTCGTTGATTTTTGTCTGATACGAACACAACTAAAAGATGAGGGACAACACGCTCCACACTAACTTGTCCTTTATTTCCGGCTTCTCTTCGTTGCCGTCGTGCTTACGGCGAGTCGTTAACAATCGGGCGGGTTAATCCAGCTTTTATGGTGAATTGAACCTCGTGTAGGGATAATCTTCCAAAACAAGGAAGCGAATGACATCATTATGGGGTTACTTTATACATCCATAATCTCCAGCCGTTTTCTTTGTAGCGAGATTAATCACAGAAGTAACATAGAGACTTTAGAGATATCCCGCTGCAGAATGAAAAATTGTGAGAAGGGGAAAAATGGACGAGTAGAACTGAATAGGCGAACAACGCAGCACGGTGTGTATACACGAACCTTGATGGTCTGAGACACTGATCAGTATTTCTGTAGAAATGGCAACTCAGACAGATTGTTCCTTGAGGTTACAGGATGCATCAAGGAAACAGGAGACAGCATCTTTGCCATGGGACGAGATCACATCTCTGGTGATTATAATGTCTATGCTTACAGTTAATAACTCCGTGATGGCACTAAGACCGTTCAGTATACAAGACTCGCTGGACTGAGATCCGTGTATTCCATTTTAACATGAAAACGAAACTGTCTAAACGATAAGCTTAAGCTGGCCGCAATCCTCGGTAGACTGGTTCTTATAACTTATACATAACATGAACAGATACAACAGAATCCCACGGACGTGAAATCTTTTTCACACTTCCTCTTGATGGTGTGGTTTCGAAAAAAACAAACTTGTGACGAACGGCGGGATGCGACTGTATGTCTACACCGTGCGTTTAATACACCGACGCGATAACTCCACGTTATATAACGTATCAAAGGCGTGCCGTTAAGGTGGGCGAAGTCCACGGTCGTTCACATTCTGCAGTTGTCATGGAGTAGCGATAAAGGTGACTACCACTGTATAGTAGTCAAAAAGAAGAAATCTTTGGTTCAAATTTCAATGGCGCCATCCACAGATGATTGCCATTCTATCCCTGTTACAGTGAAGTAAAAGTTAGAGGCATCCCTAGCAAACGAACGTACCTCTATAGTGGACACCTATTGGGAAAAATCTTTCTAATTATCGAATCGTTAAGTTACGGAAACTCACTTATACTTACTGCGTAACTCTGATAGAAGTGACCACCAGGCTTTAACTGAACATGATGACATAAATTAAATGTTTATTGTAAAACAAGTTATAGAAGGGGTTAACAACTGTGCCGATGAATCTAGGATCGTGACTGGACAAGGCAATACGAAGTGTACTGAGTTTTGCATGTTTGTAATGTAAACATAAACGCAAGTTGTAACTTCATTCAGCAACCAATTTCATTTTCATCTCAATAATTTGCCCTAAGCATAAAGAGCAGTATTAAACAGTGATGTGTCAGGAGCTAACAAAGGGAGAAAAGTGACTCTTTGAGATTGACCATGTAGAGTTTGCAGAAGCAAATCAGATAACGTTGTCCTTCAAAATCAGTACACATTTAGTCAAAGTACATTGGTCTTTATTCTGACTTCATAAATAAGTCAACAAGAGCTGTGGAGCTCGAGTCACCATTCTGTCATTGTTTGCAGCATTCATGATTTTTGGGGGAAAAACTCCCCTTGCTCATGCAATTATTAGAATGTTTGGATTACATGAAGTACTGTTTGTAGCGATATCCCTGCTACCTCACCTATCTAATAAAGAAAAGCAAATGCCAAGAAAAAAAGTGTCCGGGTCTGACCTGGACTTGGTGATAGGTACTTGTAATCTGGAGTATGTAATCACAAGCCTGATTTCGATATAGCCAAAAAACGCCCAGGGCTTCCTTAGACCTGACCTGTGGCATTGGATTTTTACTCGAATTGAGAAATGCCATCCACCTGTACGCGCAATAGGGAACAGCGCTCATCAAAAGACAAGGCAACATCTTTGAGACTAACATATGGAAATCAGTAGTCTCAAAAGCTTCAATGGCCTCGCTCATCGTCGTGTGATACGTGGGCTACGGGTCCAGTTCAAGTCAATCTCTGAATCCTTGAAGGAATTTATTGTGTCACGATTTGCGCTTGGTGGTTGCTCTAAAGACCAGTTTTCTTTGACATGACAATTAAATGTTAATTCATAACATTCCCACTCATTCGTGACTGCCCTCTGAACTCGACCACTGTGCACAAATTATGTAAGCCACGTGTACAGACAGACTGATACCATATCATGACGAACCACGAGGGTAGTTACATCAATATCACTAGCTAAATGAGTGCCATAACCTCTACAAAGTTATCGCAATCTATATATACAAAAAGGAAATAAGTAGTTAGTATCTACTTAAGGCTGGTTTATTGTATTGCATAATTAATTATACAAGTACGTTTTCAATTAATGCTTCAATGTCGATTTAAGTTAAATTGGTAAAACTGCATTTGGAAAGCCTGTGTATTGATATTGAAATATTAAAAGCATATGTGTTGAATATATCACATTCATGTATTGAAAATTGTATTACATGTACACGTACGTGTGTAAAATCATATTGAAATTGAAGAATTTAGCCATGCTGTGGTTAAGGAACTCATTTAGCCATTGTCAGTGGTCACCAGACATTGGATTTTTCTTGAACTAGAAGAAAGATCTCATTTTTCTCTCCCTGAACAAAATCGTGTCCAATTTTGACAGTCATCTGTTTCTATCGGCTCTTGGTTTGAACTTAGAGCCGTTCCAAAGCTACCTCACTGTCTTAGATTTAACAGTATCTCCATAAGAAACCAACATCTTCAATATGGCACGATTCACATACCATGACAAAACATCTTACGGCGCAGATATATCGATTTTTCTCCTTGGAACGATTCATCTGCTCTTTCAGTTTGCAAAGAACCTTGGCAGATGTGCAGCATTCAGTTTTCACGCCTTGTTAACTGAAGATTGAAAACCTCAATTGAGACAAAAATCAACAAACCGCCACTGAACCCACGCACTTCTCCTAAGCACGAATGGAGATCTTCATTTCTATGAACTTCTCCTCTGATAAAACTGCACCCACATATAGATGTAATTCAATTAATTTTCGATTTCAATAAAAAGTATGAAAATAAAAGCAAAGCTTCGATGGTCTGAGCTTCTTTCACGCTGTCTTTACAGTCAACAATATCCCAACTGACCTTTGTTGGTTCATCTTTCGTGACGTGGCGAGTTCGAATATCGTTTCATTTATTTCTGGGTCCTATTGCCGGAGTCGTCCATAATCAATGTTTCTATATACATTGCCTTCACAATCACTCAGAAAATAAGACAATTAAGTCTCAGGATTCGAGTATCATACAAGACCGACCGCGATTAATTAGGTCTCAGTGCATACCAAAGCACAAATATCTTTATTTCAACAAGCAAAAGAGACACAAACGACTGTGGTACGGAGAGTATTGTACACATGAAGGATATTGTCAAGCTAAAAATAGAATATTTCATCGTACAGGCTCAACGTATAGCGATTAGATTATTGAATTATTTCACTAGTATTCTTTGACCTTTTCCCTGGTATTCTTTGACCTGTGATGAATTAACTCATTGAATTCCTAAAGATGTTTCATAAATTTTCAACAGAGTCAGCCCAAGTTGCAGAATTTCTGCAAAAGCAAACATGAAATAAACATAAAATATGTCTTTTTTTTTCATGTATCCTTCACTCTGAATGCATTTTGATTTTTCCCAGGGTAGAAATCGACAGCAGGTGTTTGACAACCGGAGGAAATAAGTAATTTTCCCGGATGGTAATAGTGGAACAATACATTATAATAAATTATGGGGCTTAATTCAACCCAAGAGAACTACTATATGTACATTTAGAGATAAATTATAACACAAGCAGATGGAAAATATAAACGAAGACAAATTAGTCTGTACAGTAAAACGTATACTGCATAATGCCATGCGACTCTTGTATTCAGTTACGTGGTTTGCCTTAGAATATCCTGCAAGCTGGCACTGTGTTGAAATCACGCCGTAATTTCAGTTGCAAGAAGAAATGTAATGTTTATAATGCGAGCAAGCATGGTATTACATCGTCTCTTGAGAATTCTTATCACATCACAAAATACTGCACGAGCAGGGAGGAAGACACTTGACATATGGGGGAAAAGGTGAAAGCAGTGAATAATTGTCGGCATAATTATGAAGGGTTCTTGTACAAATACGTACCATAAAGACCGGCTTCACTTTCCCCAGCCATTCAAAATCTTCACATTTCAGTCAAAGTGGATGCTAATTAAGGTTTGAAAATGGAGGTTTCCTGAAGAAAGCAACACACACCATGGCTTTGACCAAAACATTTCTATGCTGACTTGTACAGATGCGAATTGACTCGCATGTAGGCCGGCACCAAACAGGTGTTGCAGTGTCATGTACGCATGCGCAATGTCTGTAAAAAATATATATATAAACAAAGCAGCGATTTACAAGTTAATTGATTTTTATTTTTGCTGGCACTTGATAGAAGCAAGCATGTGGTCACGTCCCACCGACATTATTAACAGGAGTCAAACTACGTGGGCAGGATGAACGTGGACACGTGCATGCATTCAGTTCTATGGCCATTCAATGAAAGTGATCTCAGATGGGTGGGGTAAGACCACAGTTTTAAGGTGGTTTACATCAAGTAAATGCTGAAATTTAGAAGAACATCCAAAGTATACATTGGTCGATAATATTTTATGAATAACAATGTCCTTAAATCAGTAGTAAAAGTGATAAAAGATTTGTCCTCTTTCCCAGGTATTTGATCGACCCAACTAACTACAGTCCATTCCACTACAACAGAGTTATAAAGCAAACCTCGCATAAACCAATAAACCTTTTGTTTGCATGGTAGGCAAACTATTATGGCGGATTGGCACTGTAAAAGCAAAACAAAAGAGTAATACCAAAAGTAGTTGAAAAGAAATCGTATAATTATTTAAAACTGAGCAATATATAATACTGTTATTAGGAATACAAATAGCATATCTTTGAGCAATGTTTGAATTTAGAGGGAAACTGCTACCAACCAACCATCGATAAAATTTATGCAAACTCTGGCCGCCAGTTCGAAATAGTAGCCATCTTTTCAACGACTGCAGCGCTCTCGGAGAATTCAGTATTTTTTACTATTGGACGTTATTTTCAATACAGACGTTACAGATGTCCTGCCGCTTTCGTCTTGCTATACTGGAGCTGCTGGTGAGTCGTTTCCCCCATTTCACTACACGCTCAGTATTGCAAGCCAAGGCTGCCAGCTTCCATGAAGCCACTTAGTTGTATGACCCGAGGCAATGCAAGCGGCAGGCCATAGCGTACGCAACGCATTCATGAATAACGAGGCAACATATAATCTATTTTATTTCCATAAAGCCTATTTGTATGCACATGAAAATTAGATATTGTGGAAGCCTGTGAAACCATAATTCTTAGAACGCGCTTTTTCACCGCCTAAAGCCTCCAATCAACACACCATCATCGTATCAATTAGGGTGATGTGATCTAGATTGTCACAATTCCGTAAAGGAGGCGAAATTCAGAGTAGTAAGCTTTTCCTTTTTACTCAGGTGAAGAAGGGGAGAACTAAACTTAATACCATTTGGCCAGAATAAACATCTGGAGCAGTGACAATAAGATGCTCGATGCCTTTGTAGTAAACAGCAATTCTGAAAGATGATAATAGTAATGTTTCAAATGATTAATCCATTATTAAACCCCTCGACAGAAGACTGGCTAGTAACTGCCCTTTCGAAAGGCTTGAGAAAATTTATTCATTTGTTCTGCACACGTTCTGT